TGCTGGGTGGGGCTGGGGGCAGCAGGTCGTGGGCAAACACGGAGTCGTCCCCCGAGGAGCTGGAGCTGGGGGTGTCCTGGCCACCCGGGGAGTACTGCTCAAAGGGCGCTGACAAGTCCAGGTACTCCTGTAGCGGGGAGCAGGGTGAGTACAGTCCCCACCGAGGGCTCTCCCCTCCCACCACAGCTGCATCCAAGGGCCCGCCCCCAGTGCCACTCACATCAGTGGACGTCACGGTGAGGACGCGGTCCAGGTCCTCCACCAGCTGCTTAAAGGTAGGCCGCTGGGAGGGCGCTGCATGCCAGCACTCCCGCATGACCATGTACCTGTGGGCAGGCGCTCAGGCTTGTTCCAGCTGTGCCTGCTTCCCACAGCCTCAGCAGGGCCCTGGGCACCTGCCCCTCCGCCCCCGTGGGCCCCCGCCCCAGGACCCACGAGGGAGGTCAGGCCCGCTCACAGGTCATGTGTGCAGTTGGCTGGCTTGTCCATGCGGTGGCCCTCCTTTAGAAGCTTGAAGAGTTCTTCCACGGGGATGCCAGGGTACGGCGAGCCCCCCAGTGTGAAGATCTCCCAGAGCAGGACCCCAAAGGACCAGCTGCGGGGATGGGCGAGGTCAGGCTGCCCCGAGGCCCCAGAACAGATGCCTGGGTGGGACCCGGGGAACAGCCAGGAGGGAGGGAAACAGAGCCCTCCTGCCCAAAGTCCCAGCCCAAGTCCCGGACGCTACAGCTGGGGTCCTGGCTCTGCCCCTGGAGCGTCCCCGCCCCCATCAGCAGGGCCAAGACCTGCCAGGGACAGACAGACACATACACATCACTCTGGTGCGTGTAGACGCGGTCAAACAGGGCCTCGGGCGCCATCCACTTCACGGGCAGCCGGCCCTGCGAGAAGAAGGGGCGTTGACTGCCGGGGTCCCTCCTGGCTGCCCCCCACACCCTGGGCCGGGCTCACATTGGTGGTCTTCTTGTAGTAGTCAAGGTTATGCACATCGCGGGCCAGGCCAAAGTCTGCGATCTTCATCACGTTGTCCTCTGTCACCAACACATTGCGGGCAGCGAGGTCTCTGTGGATGCACTGAGGGGCGCGGGGGCAGAGCTGAAGCTGGCCCCTCTCCGCCTCCCCCTCCCGCGCCACACCTGTGCTCCCCGCCAGCCCCGCAGGCCTGCCACCCGCTCACCTTCTGGGAGGCCAGGTACTCCATGCCCCGGGCCACCTGGTAGGCGCAGGACACCAGGTCCTTGAAGGTGAGCTGCTCCTCCGGCAGCTTGCAGGTATCAAAAGAGTAGTCCATGCCCGGGGGCCGCCTCGCCCGTAGGTACTCCCGCAGGTTGCCCTTGGCCGCATACTCCACCAGCACATACAGGGGCCCTGTGGGCGGCGCAGGTGCCTCAGAGGGGCCGCCCCGGCAGCTCCCGCTCGCCCCGCCCCCCGCCTGCGCCACCTACCGCCCTGCGTGCAGGCCCCCAGCAGGTTGATGATGTTCTTGTGTCTCCCGATCATCTTCATCATCTCCATCTCAGACACCAGGTCCGACAGGTCCTTGTCCGTGGCATCGTCTGGCGAGGAAGGAAGGGCGCGTCAAGCAGGGCCGTCCCCGGCCTGCCCTGGCACCCCTGGCCGCGCCCTCACCTTTGAGCATCTTCACCGCCACGGTGACAGGCTTAGCGGCCCGGTCCCTGTCGATGCCGATGGCCTCCGCCATGACCACCTGGCCGAAGCAGCCCTCCCCAAGAGGCTTGCCCAGGGTCAGCCTGGCAGCAGAGGCAGAGATGGTAAGGTAAGCGAGAGAGCCCCCAGCCCAGCCCCAGTCCCCACACTGCTGCCTCCAGAAAACCAGCCCTCCGTGCTTCCCTGCCCCTGTAGGTGTTGCCTTCACGTGCCCTCCAGAAAGGTGCCTCGAGAGGGCGGGTCCCTGCCAAGCAATCCCCCAGAGGCTTCTTCCCAGGGCCCCGGCCATGCCTGACAAGCACCAAGGCCTCTACCTGCTGACGCCCCACCCCCACTGGTCTCCACCAGTCCCTCCTCACGGGTACCCGGCCCACGCCACCACTGACCGAGCTCGGGACAGCTCCCACTTGGGGTCGGCAGGCAGCTCAAGCTCAGATACGTTGGCCAGCGCGGGGCCCTCTCCCGAGGACAGCCGGGTGATGCGCACCAGTGGCGCGTTGGAACTCATGGACGAGCTGGACTCCAGGGACACCTGCTTGGGTCGGCAGGGGCAGGTTGGTGCCGCACTGCGGGGGCAGGAGGAACGGGGGCGGCACAGCCCGGGGGACAGCAAGGCCACAGTGTGCAGGCAGGGTACCAGGCCAGAAGGGGCATTCTGACTTCCACTGGTGTGGACTTTTATTTGCTTATTTATTTTGAGTCAGGGTCTAGCTGTGTCACCAGGCTGGGGTGCAGTGGAGCAATCGTGGCTCACTGTAGCTTTGAACTCCTGGTCTCGAGCGATCCGCCCGCCTCAGCCTCCCAAAGCACCGAGATCACAGCTTTGTGCCACAGCACCTGGCTGAGCAAAGATTTTTCAAGAACATTTTGTGGCCGGGCTCAGTGGCTCAGCCTGTAATCCCAGCACTTTGGGAGGCCGAGGCAAGTGGACTGCCTGAGGGTTCGAGACCAGTCCAGGCAACTGGGCAAGACCTCGTCTCTACAACAAACCGAAAACTAGCTGGGCATGGTAGCGTGCCTGTAGTTCCAGCTATTTGGAAGACTGAGGCACAAGGATCACCAGAGCCCAGTAGTTCGATGCTGGGGTGGCCATGAGCATGCTACTGCACTTAAGCCTGGGTGACGGAGTGAGACTCCAATAAAAAAAAAAACAACAACAGCATTTTGTGCCCCAAAGTAATTCAGGCTCTATGTGGGAAGCAGAGACAGGAAGGGGTTGGCCCACCCGACAGCAGAGACGTGTCCCAGTTGGGCCCCATGCCTTGGACACCACGAGGTCCCCTGAACTGGGAGAGCCCAGGGCCAACGTGGGCCAGGCGGCTTTGGGAAGGCCAGACAGGCCAGCAGGCAGCTCGGAACCTGGTATCTACTTTCTGTTACCTGTCGCTTGAGCGGGAAGCGGGAGATCTTGTGCACAGTGGGCGAGCCCAGGCCCTTCTTGGGGGGACTGCGCAGGCGGCAGAGAGTCACGGCTGCCACCACAAGGATGAAGAGGAAGAAGCCCACCCCGTAACTGAGGACACCCGCGTACACGCTGCCGGCCTCGTCAGGCTCCACCAGCTCCTCCTCAGCTGCAAAGACATGGGTGTGAGGCCTGGTCCCGCCTCTGGGGCCCCCACAGCCCCGCAGGCCAGAGCCGCAGGTACCAGTAGGGGCAGGGAAAGGGGCTCAGAGCCCCAACACGTCTGGAGGGTTCTGCAGTCAGAAACACCAACGAATCAGGAGGGCCCAGACCCCGGAGCAAAGGAGCCCAGCAGAGCCAGCCACGCCCAAACCGCCACCAGGTGCCTGGGACACACCAAAGCTGCAGGGGACCCAGCTGGGAGTGGAGGGCTCAAGGACCCCCTCCAGGACCCAGACAGGGCCAGGCTGACTTCGTTCCCACACCGGGCACAGGGCCAGATGCGAGGGCTCCACGGTGTGGGCGGCCACGAGCTGCAGGGTCCCCCGGGCGCCCCAGCGGCTGTGGTGTGTCCTGGGCCAGCATCCCAGAGCACAGGTGCAAAGCCAGCCACAGCAGGAGCCAATACCTGGCAGCACCACCAGCCACGCAGAGTGATGGGAAAACCCGATAGAATTGCCCGCCAGGCAGGTGTACTCCCCGGCGTCCTCAAAGCTGACATTGCGCAAGGACAGAACCTCTAGCTCCTTGTCGGTGGTGTTAGCGCCCGCCGTCTACAAAGAGAGAACAGAGCGCGATAGGCGAGCACCAGCACCTCCCCACGGGCACCACGGCAGAGTCCACTTGCGACGATCCAGCTGGGCTGCAAGGAAAACGCCGCCGCCGCCACCGCCACCACCACCACAGCCACCACCGCTGTGGCTACCATCGCCACGGCCACCACCGCACGGCCCCTGCCACGCAGCGGAGGGCCCTCCTCCTCCTGTCGTCGCCGAGCCCAAAGCCAGTCCCTCCACCGGCGAGTCCTCTGTCCCAGGTGAGCAGCAGGCAGGGGGCAGCACGGCGCTGCACGGGGCGGCATGCGGGTTAGCGCAGAGGGCAGGGTGCAGACAGGATGCACAGACGGACAGGCTGGCGGAAGCAGGCGGGCCGTGGGCATGTCCAGAACGAGGCGGGAGGGCACGGGCAAACAAACAGCGTGAGGCCTGGCCCTGGCAGGGCACAGGGAGCGCTCTGGAGGTGTGGGAGATGCAGGAGGGGTCAGCACAGGCCGCAGGGCTCCAAGCGGACAGTCAGTGGAGGCTGGAGCGGCCAGCGTCGCCGAGTGGCCACGAGAGGGCGCGAGCGGGGCAGGGAGCGAGCAGGACCGAGCGTGCGGGGCAGGCTGGGGCCTGGAGCTGGAGCCCGCGTGCAGCCGGTGGGACAGAGTCGTTACCTGCTCGGGGCCCGTGAACGCGCAGCCAAAAGGCCTTCTCGGCCACGCCTATGAAATTGGTGGCTCGACAGAGGTACTCGCCCCCATCCCGCTCCGACACATTGGCCAGGCGGAGGCGCGCGTCAGCCTCCACACTCTCACTGATCCAGGACTGCGGGGACAAGAGACCCAGCTCAGGCATGTCCCCAGACAGCCCCGTGGGCACGAGGCAGGACACGGGAGGACCCCAGGAACAGACGGGGCTGGGCTGCGTCAGCCCAGGAGGCTGCCTGGAGGAGGCGCAGAGGCACCACACAGCGGGGGCTGTGGTTTCACACACAGGATGCACGTCTCCGTGTCCACCCCAGAACCCTCGGAGCCCCTCGGGGCCCGCCTGCCCACCCCAAGGTCTGCGGAGGCGCACACATGCTCACAACGGCCCACGGAAGCCCCTCCCGGCCGGGTCTGGACTTCGAGCCTGCTCCCCACCCCTTTCAGACCGTCTTGTCTCTGAACAGATGTTTCTCTTTGGGTTTTCGAATGTCGCAACCGTCCCAACTTGGTGCCCCCACCCCTGCGGCCATAGGAACAAAGCTATAGCCCATGGGAGGAGGGAGGGTGGGGAGCCCCCCACGCTCTGAGCATGGCAGCCAACGGGGCTAGCTCTGGGCGCAGCCACCTAGGCCCGGAGATCCAGAGGGGCCGGGAGGGCTCAGCGGCCACCCTTCCGC